GACCTGTCATAGGTGTCCTCGAATAGGGTTCGCATATTCAAGAGTTAAACAGCCAGCAACAGTTATCTCCTTTTGTATGAGTAGGAGAGGGAAAGTGAGATATTGAAAAAATCCTCGACCAAAGGGAAGAACAAAATATTTGAGGCTTTTTTACGCAAATGAACACACGAGCACAGAGCGGAGGCGCAAATAACAGCACAAAGACGATAAGTTAAACGGATTTGTGCCAATTGAAGCGGTACTTACTGTGTAGACACGAATTGTCGGTTCGTTTTTGGGTCGCATGCTTCGGTTAGCTATGTATTCATCCAGGAGACGCAGCGAATTCGTGCGAATCGGCCGGTAGGGGCTACTACCAGTGCTGGAAGCCCGAGAACTGGGATACTGTTGCTGCTGTTGCCTGTTGGTAGTGGTACGGTAGACATCGGTTGAAACACGAGTCTCCCTCTGCACGGACTGCCAAGGCTGCGGTTCCATCGAGGCTGCCGGTTGCAGCACTTCAGGCACTTTCTCGCTGAGAACCCTCTTGTCAATTCCTTGCCTACAAGAGCAGAACCAGCACACTGACTTCAAATGTACATTAGTGATTGCAAAAGCTTAGTCTCTTCTCCATTATTATTATTATAAACATTAATCACTGATAAACATGATCGGTGATAAAACGCATAGAGTGCTTTGCAAGATCTCATGTAAAGTTGAACGAGACCGAAGGATTTAGGGCTTACAAATCTGCTCCTAGATTCCCTAGTACAATCAGTGCAACATATATCAGGCCTTATCGTCCTAGAACGTCCAGAACTCGAAGAGTCAAAACCGCTTTGTGTCTAGGGGGAGGGATTTGCAACCGTACCAGTAATTTTCTTGGCCATGCGACAAAGGTACTTAAAAGCCAGGGATGTAACACAATTCCTTTGATGAAAAAGTGACCACTATTACTGCATACATTCTCTGAGGGCCGTCAACACTGAAGTACAGCATATTACACTCTTCAAAACGCCGTTCAGAAAACGTTAGTGAGTTTATACGCCAATAATATTAACAGTTGATAAAGGTAGTTCGTATTGAAAAGAAAGAACCAGTTCTCTCTACTATTGAGCATTGGATTTAATGCTCACTGCTTTCACTTGTCTTTGGCGCATTTCTTTCCTTTTATTTTCCCTACGCGAGAGCTCCAAGGCACAGCAGGACGAGAAATTATCTTAAAATTCTCGGTAAACACCCTTCTAGAAGATTAATATAGAAATGTCAGCACAGCACTGGATATTAAGCATATCGGTCAACGCTACCAATTTTTTATGCTGAAGAATTAAGAAGACAGCTTGCAGGCACACTTTAATTTTTGCCGACTTGTAAGGTTACCAGCTATCGGACCAGTATATGTGTGTGCAGGTGCTCATCTCCGACTTGTTTTCCTTTTCAGCACTGCGCCCATCCCACCTCAGGCAACCGATCAACTAGGCTGTGGCCCGTTGCTGGCGGTGGGGGAAGAGAGTGAGATCAACCCTCAGCGCATTTACTTCCTCACTATAATCAATCTGATGCGCTTAAAACGATCGTGGTGCGCTAAAAGCCGTGACTTTGAGGGTTGCCAACTGATGAGATAACTTAAACAGCGCAGTGGGTCCGGTGTGTCTGGTTGTGTAAATTGGCTGTCTGCGGGCTGAGAGTCAGGCTCAATGGCTCTTTCTTAATGTGGCC